CATCTTGTTCGGCACGCTTGGAGATCTTCCAGGCCTCGTCCTGTTCGGCACGCTTGGAGATCTTCCAGGCCTCGTCCTGTTCGGCACGCTTGGAGATTTTCCACGCCTCGTCCTGCTCAGCTGGCTCGCGGCGTGAGATCTTCCAGGCCTCATCTTGCTCGGCAGGGTCACGCTTGGAGATCTTCCAAGCTTCATCTTGTTCGGCACGCTTGGAGATCTTCCATGCCTCGTCCTGCTCAGCTGGCTCGCGGCGTGAGATCTTCCAGGCCTCGTCCTGCTCGGCACGCTTGGAGATCTTCCAGGCCTCATCTTGCTCAGCTGGCTCGCGGCGTGAGATCTTCCTGCACACAAGTCAGTAAAACATTACACGAGTCGAGTCGAACATAATCACCAAGCCTCGTCTTGCTCAGCAGGGTCACGCTTGGAGATCTTCCAGGCCTCGTCCTGCTCAGCACGCTTAGAGATCTTCCAAGCTTCATCCTGCTCTACCTCTTCGCCTCGACGGGAGATCTTCCTGTGAGTGTCATGAGTGTCTGCAGTATCAGACGTTGTGTTGTCACGACTTACCAGGCCTCATCTTGCTCCGCAGCCTCAGCACGTGGAATGGCTACCGCTTGAGCTCCGAGAGCCAGAGTGAAGGCAACAACGATGGTCTTTGAGAAAAGCATATTGAAAGATGGGTGGAATTGATCTTGGATCAAGTGAAGGGCGTTGGTAGGTTTGCAAGACAAGACTGATGATCTGGCAGTGCTGGACTTCAATGGCTCCAAGGCAGCATATTATATACTGATTTGCTTCTGTATAGATATGTTTGACGGTTCGAATATGGTTAGAGGCTTGGGTCACAGTCCCACTGTCTCTTCACACGCTAAAAGGTGCTGACGCTTCGTGCTACTTTGGACTGATCACGCCAATGCACGCACATATATCACCTTCTCACTTGGGTATACGATTATCGATGTAAGAATTTAGTCTAACATGCAATCCACCGAGGGCAAGGTATGGCCCTGTAGCGCCAAGCTTGCATTCACCACAGTTGCTGATCCCAGCTCCAGTGCATCTTGTATTTGGGGTCTTCAGGATCCCCCGTTTCCCAGTCTGTCTCTCCTCATTACTCTCCTCATGTCTTTCACTCTATTGAATAATCTTCGAGCTTACTTTACACCAAAGACATCTCCTGCTACAATGGAGAAATACGCCTCTGTGCCTACTTCTGACAATTCGTCCGCCGAGGCCTTGTTGAACAAGGGTGCCCGCAACAGTCTCGACACCGACTCAGTCGAAGACTTCAGCAGCCATCATAAGCCTCGCTCCTGGTACCGTCGCAATGAGCGTACACTCATCACTGGTATCGTGGTGTTTCTGGCCAACATGACCATTTGTGTTGTCTACACGCATTGGCTCACATCGCAGTACTCCCACTTCAAGCCTACTTATCCTTGGTGTATGTTCCCCATCCTTTCCATGCTATCCAACCGTCTAACCGCATACAGCGCCGGCTCGAGAAGTTGTCAGTTACGAGCAGAGGGAATGGGATTTGGTCCATCTCCATCTTCCCAACGGAAGCATAAACCCAGAAAAGCCAGGCCATTTCGGTGGACCACCAACACCAGCACTTGTCGCCGAGTGGAAGAATCTTCTACAGCATCAGAACTTCCGACTTCAAAAGGAGGAGTATGGACCGTTCGCGGACGACCCAAATCTTGTCCAGCTCGCCGACGGATCTGGTTACATGGCTACTGTAGCTGTATATCACGGCCTGCACTGCACAAAGAGGCTCCACCACTATCTCTATGCAGATGATTACTATCCCGACATGTCAGCAGACGACAAACAGCGCTTGATGTTCCACGCAGGTATGTATGCCAGAGCTTCTTCCAGGCCACTCACTCATCACGCTCAGAACACTGCATCGACTGGCTCAGGCAATACATACAATGCAACGCCGACACAACCATCATCCCATACTTCTGGGGCGAGAACCAGGGCTCGCCTCTGGCAACTGACAAGGCGAAGCACACCTGCGTGGCCTGGGAGCCTTTGGAGCACTGGGCGGCTGAGCGCTCCTTTGACGCTTTCACGCCGGGTTTGCTCGTCCATCCTAGTTACGGTAAGTTCACGATATCGCCTCATACTGGTGCAGCCAACTAAGTCAGTATAGGCAAGTTGTTCGGTGACGACTACAAGGGCGATCCGTTGGGTATAGTGGCGGAGAACTACCCGCTCTCCGGCCAGCACGGAGCTGTGGCGCACGGCGAGCGGTGATGCTTGTATCGATTAGATTGTTTCGTGCGGGTGAAGCGACGGCGCTTCCCCACAAAGCTTGTGTATCTTCTTCATAGCTTGAATGCACTCATCTATTGTTGAGCATGAGTTATGCCTCATACAGCATCTACTTTCGAAAGTGATGATAAGGCTTCCATCATCCGGGATCTGCCGGGGGGGATCTAGCCCCGTTTGACATGTCTGCCACCTCCCCACAGAATGGCGATGAAAGCTAAGGTCTGCGGGCCGGAACGAAGCCACCCCATTTGCAGAGGGCGCAGGGTCAACGGGAACGGCGCGGGAGGCCTTGCAGATTGGTAAGGTGGAGGGAGACATGCTCAACGGTGCCACCTTCCGCAATAGGCACGACATCAGTTTAGCGCTGTCAATTGCTCATCCAACTTCGCTCTGTGTAAGCGCCACAAACTTCACACTACTGGGGTTTGACTTGCACACCGCTGCGTCAGCCACGGCTCTAGAGTAGGCGGGCCTGCGTTCTTGTGCGCCGCGAACAAAGGCCGCGGATACGTGAACTGTACATACCTCTTGTGGAGAAACGTCGACAGGCCACCAGTGCTGATGCGCTGATCCCATCTCGCGTATGCGCTGGCATCGTCGGAACAGCTCCGATTATGCGGCTTACGGCCTGCATGACCAAGACAAACCATGGCAGGGGCTTATTGCAGATAAGCTGCTCGACAGATTGCTTAGCCTCCTCAATCTCACCAGTGGGTCCTGCGTCTGTGTAACCAGATCCTGCCCCGGACGTGCGTACAAACGGACTGGTGAACCGTGCTTTTGGATCTGCGGTGGTTCGGGAACACCGACTTGTACGCTTCATGCAAGGCCTCCAGACGCGCTGTGCAAAGTGAAACGACAGCTCACCTTTGGTCCGGGGCTGCTGGATGGATGCTTGCTTCGTCGTTCACCGGTTTCTCCACAGATCTTGGGAAAACGATTCGTGAATGGCTGCTTGAGTACTTGCAGATGTGGAGGACCTGAGCACGCAAGCTGTCACTTGACACCTGGACAATACGAGGCGGAGGAACAGTGGATCGTGAAGGACCGTGGTTTGCTAGATCAATGGTGCAAGCACATGGCTGCATGGCACCACGGGCGGAGATTGCCATGTAAGAATTGCCCAGCATTGAGATGCGATGACACTGTGCCGTTCTTTCAGGGTCGAACAGCTGCCCTCCTCTTGTCCACTATCTCTCTCCTCTTCTTTCCTGCTCAGTTCCGTGATACCTCATAGGATATCCTAATCAGCTGAACATGAACAGGTCCCAGATATCCTACCACTCACTGAAGTCATCAGAGCTTGGGGATATCCCAGAGTCTGTCAGTTCTGGCGAAGAGCACGACCTGGAAGATGCGACACCATTCCCCACCTCCAAACCATGTCACCGCATCCTATCCCTCCTCTCCCGTCTGGTCGTAGTCACATTCGCAATATGGGGCTTCCTCTCCCTCCTCGCAACAATAACGCAGCACCTACGCGTCCAGAACCCGGACGTCTATCGTCCCGCCACGCTACCGACGGACTACAACCACTGCACCTGCGGCTCGACTATCGCCGAAGCGCGCTCCAAGGGCTGCAAGTACGACTCCATGGGCGCAGCATGGCTGCCAGACTACTGCCGCGACGACGACCTGACGTCGACATTTGCGCGCTCGGGGACCGAGCCGGATGGCTCGTGGCCGTACTATGCCGATGCGAATGGCACGCAGAGAGTTAGCGTCGAGGGGATTGCGGCCATGGGGAAGGGCAGTTTTTATGCCACGCGGTACTGGCATGTAGCGCATTGCCTGTTCTATTGGGAGAAGTGAGTGTGGATACCCTTTGGCTTTTCTTTTCTTCCTATGTTGAGGTCATACTTGGCTAACTAACGGCTGCAGATACGTCCGTATGCGCGATACTGGGAAGGTCATGGAAGCGCGGTTCGACAGGGCGAAACACACGCAGCACTGTCGTAAGCTGGCATTGAAGCGGGGTGCTGATCCAGATTTGTTGATTGCCGTTGAGGTGAGTTTGACAGGTTGTGCTGCAGGAGAGAGATTGACTGATGGATTGCAGGTGGTTATGGATTCGAGGGTGGATGACCTGGGACATGAGGAGCATCATTAGTGTCTTCGATATTGATCTGCGACAGCGTGGACGCGATCGGACCCGTACTCGTCGAAGATATTGAAATGTATAGTCGTCCAGCTACTTGGGCTCCTTCACTCTACTTACTCCGCGCCTGAGTGATGGTGGGTCGTCGAATCGCATGTTTACCTGTTTGAAGCGTGGCAGTAAATGGTCAGCCGTCAAACCATGCCCACAGCCTCACACAATGTCCCGTCCATCTTTTTAGCTGAGCTCAGTGAACCACTGTTGCATACGTTGAGGGGAACCGCATGAGATCTTCTGCTCCAGCCACTAAGGCAGTGCCGTAGACATGGTACCCGCCCGGCTGCAGGGGACTGTCCGCCAGAGCAAGCAACCCAATAGCAGAACGGTGCGAGACAGCGGCGATATGCTTGCCTTATATTCCAAAGCAAATCCAGCTTCCAAAATCCGACACCCAAAAAATTCCATCCTTGATCAAAACAACCTGCGCCGTTGATTCGAGACCCACTACGGGCCCACACAAAAGCCCTTCATCCTTTCCCCCTCCTTCCACTCCCACCACAACCCCCAGACACAGTCCTGGTGCAATATAATCTTAACAGTCCCCAGCTTACTCATCAAATCCCCCATGGCCCAATGGCTAAGGCGTCCGACTGTTATCAACGGCAATCGGGAGATTCGAAGTTCGATCCTTCGTGGGGGAGTTTCATTTTTTGCTCTCTTCTGCTTCTCGCCGGGTCAATTCGCGATCGAACCTCGCAGCTGTGATGGAGAGAATGGTCCCCCGGAGCCTGAGGTGCGCGGTGCGCTGTTTTGGGGTCCCTTAAAAGTGCCGTCTCTTTTGTGTACGCGTGCATCACATCTTTGGGCTTCCTACGAGGATTTCTGTTTGTTTTTTCTGTCAAGTGTTGATGGGATACTTCACGTTTGCTGGGTCCTGGAGATGATATCGAGGGTCTCAGGGGTCGTACATAAGTACTTATGTGGTCGGCGCTGCAATGTCACGTACAGCGTTATGAAGGTTGCATTGAGAGATGTAAAGGATCGACGCGTTCTCCTTTTGCCAAACATAATCTAATCGCTTCTCCCTCCAAGCTTCAACAATACAGTGTGGCAGAAGGGAGAGACAGGCCTGCGTAGCAGCCCAAGACGGTGTTGCTTTCTACGAATGCGATCACCAACGAAGGAACGGAGATCACTGCATCGCGCTAGCCTCAACCAGGTTAGCACCTCCTTCTTTCGTCACCTGCCAGCCGTGGTTCTCTTGCGGCGACAGTTGGGTAACGAGATGCAGAGTCCGCTGCAAGACATCAGACAATCATGCCTCTGATGTAGAACCGCTTTAAACCGTGAATGTTTCGGATTGCATGCACATTCGACGCGTCTTCTTGCCAAAAGCGTGGATATTCATGCCCCGAAAGCGGCCATTCGCGCGCTCTGATTGGCGCGGACAGCGCATTCAAGGGTTGAGAGCAAGAGGGCGCCCGGCCACCCCTTCCACCTCGCATCTGCCTCCTCACGACTCTCCGCCCGAACCCCATCAGAAACGCCAGCTCCCCACCGCCGCCGCAAAACGCACCCCCAAACCATCAAAGCCCATCACATGCATCTCGGTTTTGGATGCGCCGCTGCGTGCGAGTAATTTGACTCCCACATTATCCATATTACGACGCGTTTCTGTCGCGAAACGAAGCTGCGCGCGCCCGAGAGGCCACCTGGCCCCAGAGCCAAAGGGTGTTGCCTGGCAGACTTTTTGCAGCCGTCACGTGCCCGCGACCCGATCCGGTCCGAAAACAGGCCTGAGCCAACATGACACAACGCGTTACGGGCCAGCGCTTCCGCCAGCGGAAACTGTCCACGAAGCAAAACATACCTGTGCTGCGCGAGCATGAGATTGAGAAGCTGGATGAAGATGAGGCGTCGCGACACATTCCAAAGGTCGAGACGGGTGTTGAGAAGGGAGAGGAGATTGTAAGTCATGCCGCTAGCCCTTTTGAGCATTCGCTCTTACATGCATCTGGACGTTGGTGGCGCCAGAGACTCACCTGCACATCAGTCGATACAGCGCAACGCACTGCATAGCCTACCTTTGGGAGAATTAGAAATTCGCTACTAACTTTACTCACAGGAGCATCATTTGCAGGCCGTGATTTCTGCAGCGCAGGCAGCAGCTCACGGCGGTCCTACCGGCGGTAAGATCGCTCAACTGTATATCCCCACACCAGAAGCAACTGCAAGTCAATTGCAGTACGATGAGCTGTATCCTAAACGATTTACACAGCCAGCAACGTACATCCGTTTCTCTTCCACCGTCGAAGATTGTACAGGATGTCTGTATTGCATGACGAGTGACGATGTAGCATGGCTCAAGTCGTATAACCAAAAGAGGGCCAAGGGACCTCATTGCTCTGAGGATGAGTTCGAAGAAGCTATGAACTTCTTTGAGGAGACTGCTCAGACGAAACAGCCCTTTTCTGCCGTCGGTGACGCCCCTGTGCTCGCATACGAAGACTTTGAGTCGGACTTTGATGAGACCATCGGTGAATCCGCGCGAAGGTTTGCCAAGGACATCTACTCGCATTGGAGAAACCAAAGGTTGCTGAAGGGCAATCGTCCTCTGCAGCCGTCGCTGAAATTTGAGACCAATCTCGAGACTGATGAAGCAGATCCGTATGTTTGCTTCAGGCGTCGCGAAGTCCGGCAAGTCCGTAAGACCCGAGGTCGCGATGCGCAGGTAACGGAGAAGCTGAAGAAGCTGCGCAACGAGCTGGAGCAAGCTAGACTTTTGATGGCGCAAGTGAAGCGACGAGAGGCTCTGATGAGAGACGCGCTGGCAAACGACAAGCAGATCTTCGAGCAGCGGCACGCTGTTAAGGAAATCAAGAGAAGACTCAGCATCAAGGCTGATGACGAGGAACTCTTGATTACCCAGAAGGTGCGCCCCCAGAACCCCTGTGGACTACATCAAGACATGACTGACAAGACTCAGCCTGCGCCGAAGCCTAAGCCAAGACCTGACCTTGAGAGAGTTCGCCAGAATATCCCTGGTATGAAACCTCAGGTCACCCGTGCAGACGGGCGTCTTGTGGATAGTGACCTTGTGTATCTCGAAGAGCAGCAGGCGAAGAAGACTGAAGCCATTGACACCTTCATCGAGGACAACCTTGTCAAGCACCAGAAGTGGAACGTTGGCTGGGTGGACGCTACTTGGCGGCCTATCACGCCGCCACTGGAGCAAGCTGCCGCCAAGTCAGACTTCCGTACGGTGTTCACAGAAGCGCAGCTTCCCACCCCTCCAGCCTCTGTGTCTGAAGATGAAGCTGCTGACTCTACCGCGGTAGTGCATGCGAACCAGCCAGATACGCCCAGGCGAAACGCACGGATACGCTTTGGATCACCTCCAGATGACGTTCCGTTCCCAGACCAGTCTCGTTACCGAAGAAGAATCGGGCGAGGTGGGCGAGTAATGATCGACCGGCGGGGCGTCAAACGCCAGAAGATCGAAAGCGACGAGCTTGATGAGCGCATTGCAGATCGATGGAAGTACGCCGGCGACAGTAGCGAGGATGAGCAGGTATATCCCTTCGATTGGACGGATAATCTGAACATCCGGTATCGTATCACGATTGAGCGCCATGTCGAGAGGCCCCAGCAAGCAGCAGGCGCCGTGCGGAAGTCGATCGAGAATAACAATCGATCTGCATCCGGCCACCTCATGCCGCCGACAGCTACAGCTGCACCCGCAACCGGCCCAAGCTCGGCTTCGTAATCCCTTCTCTTTCAGCAACCTTTTGTGACGGCGAGACGTGTTGGTTTGTGGCGAAATATACCCTTTGAAACTTTTATTCGCGGGCGGATCCGGAAGAGAGCGGATCTACCAAATATATGTACAACATCCGGTGGCCAGGGAAGGCGGATGTGGAGGAGATAGGGGCGCTACCTGGATAGTTCATCAGCATTCTGTCACGGCCGTTGTGGAATGCCGAGCAAGGCCGTACTCATAGATGTCCATATAGGGAAAGCAAAAAACCTACCATGCCACCACGCGCCTTCACACTGTTGCTAGGTGATTTGTTCTTTCAACGTTCCCAAAAGCTTGTCGTAGAGGCGTTCAGCACTCAAGCCCTTTGTTTCTTTCCAGTGCCACCCATCTCCACATCCCCCTCTTCATCCACCTCACGAGCACGCTTTGATGTGTTGCCATCTCTGGAAAGCCTCTCAGCCAATGCCTCTTCCACTTGTCTCAACAGCCTCTTCTCCCCAATGCGCACAGCCCTGGCCATGGCGAACCGCCGCTCTTTCGCGTCATGACCAGCCACACTCGGCACCCCAGCACAGCCGCTCATATCATCTTCCAGGCTCGTAGCATACTGAGCGAGGCGCGCCTGAACCAGTCTGAGCAAGAACTCGGCGCCATGGCTGGTCATCTTCTCGGGCTTGGGCAGCTTCCCCTTGGACTGGAGACGCTCGAACTCGTCGCCGGGTAGCAGGAGGGTTTCCACCAGCACGACGAGCTCGGGCGACAGGCTCTCTTGCAGGGTGAAAGGGGTGCTGACGACGATGTCGTAGCCCGTGTCGACGACGTCTTGCTCGTCGAGGTACGCGATCCGCGCTTCTGAGTAGATGCCGGCTGTGCTCGCGAGGTCGGTGACGAGGTCCATGGACACCTCCGCCACGTCGTACTGGGCGTAGTTGTCTGTGATGTATCCGTAGCGTCGGAGCAGGTCTGAGCGGGGGAGGGGCCCGTAGTCGTTGAAGACCTCCTCGCCCGCGCGGATCGGCTTGAGGGCTTTCATGTCGAGCGAGCTGGCCTCGTAGAATAGGCGGGCGTTGTTGCGGTCCGCGTCGGCGTTGAGCATGTCTGCCAGTGGGACCATGCCTTTTGGGAGTGCGGCGTCCTCGTCCTCTGAGGCGTAGCCTTCCTCGTCGACGTCCTTTTTGGAGACTGTTGGTTCGATGTCGAAGGCGTATGCCATGATCAAAGAGCCCATGCGGTGCATCAAGGCCAGGTTGCGCTCGTCGCGCAATTCCTCGGCCCGCTGTGGTGCTCGCTCATCGCCGGCGAAGAAGATAGGTGCGAATTCCTTGATCACGGGGAGCAGCTGCTCGAGGAACATGTCGTTTGCGCTCTCCTTTCCAATCTTGTGCACGACGGCGCTGGCCTGCAGTTCTGCAAGCTCGTCCTCTGTCCAGTACATGAGGGTGTTGAAGTCGGCGGGTAGGACGGAGAAGTACGCAGCCCAATTGGAGGCGTCGCCGTTGAAGTACTCGTACAGCATGACCAGAATGAGAGACGCCCAGGGGCCGAGCATTTCAAAGGTGGCGGCGGGGATCTCCTTGGACAGGATCGAGTTCTCGACGCTGAGGACTGCCGAGCGTGGGATGCGGAAGAGGAGCTCGTGCTCGGCGATGTCCTGCGTAGCGACTGATACATGTCAGTATATGGCTTCATGGAGAGACCAGATCAGTTGCTGTATAGGACCGGGAGGCCCATAGCGGCTGACGGCTGGGGAAGTATCAGAAAACGGACACTTCACTTACCCACACCTCTCCCAGCTTGAGCATGTCGAAGATCCTCAAGCTTGATCTTGGGACTGACCTCAGCCCCAGCTTGCTGGAGCCAAGCCATGAAGGCCTGCCCTGCGCCATCGAAGTCGGCCATATTCGTACAGGCGAGTATGCAGGCGTGGTAACAGAAGCGGAG